CGTGCAAGCCGAGGCATACCGCTCCTTGTCGGCAGCCCAGGTGAAGGTTAAATGGCCGCCAAAGTGGGCCGGAGAGGAGATATGAACCTCCCTATTCCGTCCAAGGCGGGTACGGGGCCCTCCAGGCCCAGTCGATGGAGCAGGTCCCTCTAAGGGGACCGTAGGCTGAGGGGTGGAAGTGGAGGGCTTGTTTTTGCCTTTGATTTTTGGTTTGGTCATTTGGTCTATGGGATAGGATAGAGGCAAGACAAATGTGCACAAAAGAGGTCAACAAGTAGCTGATTCAGTAAAAGGGTCCCAATCACAGCCTCCAGTTACAGACAAGTGCACAACTAAACAATAAAATTACTCCAAGAGTCAATTAATCCTGTGAATCAGCAAAATACTGTCCAAACACTACTAAATCAACCCAAAATTCAATTAATTAGAGAATCGTAGCAAAATTCCCCCAAAAACTAATAAAGCAGGCAACCAGGGTAAAAATTCCCCCCAACTATCACTGAGTGAGCACAAAATTTGACAATTAGTTAGCAATCACCCACGGATATAGCACAGCAACCACAATCAAGTACAAAATATCTATCCTCAGCTAGCAACTAAAAAGAATCTGGCCTCAACTACGAAAATAAAATCTGGCCTCAGCTATTTAGTGACAGAAAATTAAAGAAAGAAATCACCATGGGGGATAACCGGCAGTTGCTATGGGTGGGGCGTTGCACGCGCGAGCTGGCCGTGCGAAGGCAGCTGGTGGCTGGTGAAGCTGTGCAGAGAAGGGGAGACGTCGCGCACTGGTGCTTGCTGCTTCGCGCGCGCCTGGGCAGGACTGCCGCTGGGGATGCGCGCTAGGCTCGCTACGACTGGGTCTGCCTAGCTGGGTTGGTGCACGACTGCAGGCGGGCGGCGATCTGGCGGCTTGCGCTTGCTGCTACAAGATAATGCGAGAGCTAGAGCTGGCGAGCAAAGGGGGTTGCGTGTCTGGTGCTTTGGCTGCTTGCTGCGCGCTGCGGCTGCTGGACGCGCGGGAGGGAGAGGCAGCGGCGGACTGGGCAGCGAAGGGGAAGATGGGCGGCGAGCTGGCGGAGTGCGGCTGGTCAGTGGCGGTCGCGGGCTGGTCAGTGACGGCAGGCGTGGGCTGATCTCAGAGGGGGAGAAAGGAAGTGGCGGACAGCAAGTGAGAAGCGGCGGCCAAGGGAGCAGGGAAGAAGAAGAAAGAAAAGAAAGAAGAAAAAAGAAAGAAAAAGAAAAGAAAGGAGAAGGAGAAAAAGATTAGGACTCCGGGTCTTTGAAAATTTTCCTTTCTTCTTTTGTTTTCTTTCAAGGGCAATGGCACGCTCAACTGCCTTAGAGTCCGCAGATCCTGATCGAAAATTTCTTTTCCTCAGGCGTGACCACCTGGCGTGGGCACGCTTAACTGCTATGAAGTCCGCAGAACCTGAACGAGAATTCCTTCCATCAGGCGTTACCACTTGGCGTGGGCACGTCTAATTGCTATGGAGTCCGCAGAACCTGAACGAAAATTCCTTCCGCTCAGGCGTGACCACCTGGCGTGGGCACGCTTAACTACTAATTTCCTGCCACCAAACATCAAACTATTAATTGACACTAACACTTAACTAAAACTTAAAAAATGCATGAAAACTGAAACAAATAGTCTTGGGTTGCCTCCCAAGTAGCGCCTTTCTTTAATGTCTTTGGCTAGACATGGTCAGGACCCTCAAGCATGATAAGGTGGATCTTGGAGGTGTTTAACTTCCACTTTCTCAACAGAGAACCCCTCATAATAAGGTTTGAGACGATGGCCATTCACCACGAACTTTTTCTCAGTTTTTAAACTTTGGATCTCCACTGCACCATAATGAAACACATTAGAAATGACAAATGGACCAATCCAACGAGAACGCAACTTACCGGGAAAAAGTTTAAGCCTCGAGTGATATAAGAGGACTTTTGTCCCCACTACAAAAGACTTTCTGGAAACCTGTTGCTCATGAAAGATTTTACTCTTTTCCTTATAGATCGTAGCATTCTCATACGCTTCATTTCTTATTTCCTCTAACTCTTGTAGTTGCAATTTACTTTGGACCTCTGCGTCGTCTGATCCCATGTTACATTACTTCACTGCCCAAAACGCCTTGTGCTCGAACTCCACGGGGAGATGGCAAGCCTTACCGAAGACAAGTCTATACGGAGACATCCCAATTGGCGTCTTATACGCGGTTCTGTACGCCCATAGTGCGTCTTCTAGCTTTAAACTCCAATCCTTCCTATCCGGACGCACCATCTTCTCCAAGATCGACTTGATTTCCCTGTTTGACACTTCGGCCTGACCGTTTGCCTGCGGGTGATACGGTGTGGATACCTTATGGAGTACACCGTATTTTCGAAACAAGGCAGTGATAGTCTTGTTACAGAAATGTGTCCCCCTATCACTTACCACAGCTCTTGGCATTCCAAAGCGGACAAAAATATTCGATTTTAAGAACTCTGGACCACTCTAGAATCATTAGTACGGGTGGCTTTGGCCTCCACCCATTTAGAGACATAATCTACAGCAAGTAAAATGTACAGGAAATCAAAAGATGAGGGAAAAGGACCCATAAAATCTATCCCACAAACATCAAAAATTTCAACAAACAACATGGGGGTTTGAAGCATTTGGTCCCTACGAAAAATATTCCCCACCCTTTGACACCTATCACAGGATTTACAGAATAAATAAGTATCTTTGAAAAGAGTGGGCCAGTAAAAGCCACTCTCTAACACTTTGCGAGCCGTTCTCTTGGGCCCAAAATGCCCTCCACATGCAAATGAATGACAAAAATTTAAAATAGAGTGGAATTCACCTGTACTTACACACCTCCTGAGCACTTGATCCGAACATTGCCTCCAAAGGTACGGGTCGTCCCAAATGTAATATTTAGCATCACTCTTCAACTTGTCTCTCTTAGCCTTTGGCCACCCTGCAGGCAATTGATTAGTCACCAAGAAATTTACTAAATCGGCATACCAGGGTACAGACGAGTTAATAGCAAATAGTTGCTCCTCTGGAAATGCCTCCCTCAATGGTGGCTCCTCCTTCTGAGCAAGCAAGCGGCTTAAGTGATCAGCGACTAAGTTTTCTGCCCCACTCTTATCTTTAATCTCCAAGTTGAACTCTTGAAGGAGCAGGATCCATCTGATGAGCCTTGGTTTAGCATCTTTTTTTGTCATCAAGTATCTCAAGGCTGCATGATAAGAAAAAACTATTACTTTTGCACCTAACAAGTAAGGTCTAAATTTTTCTAGTGCAAAAACCACAGCTAGCAATTCTTTCTCTATTGTAGAGTAGTTGAGTTGAGCTCCATTCAACGCTTTGAATGCATAGTAGATCGCATGTGCGGCTCTGCCAATCTGTTGTCCCAACACCGCTCCCACTGCATAGTCGCTCGCATCACACATTATCTCAAATGGGAGGTTCCAGTCTGGAGGTTGGATAACAGGTGGTGATGTCAATGACTCCCTCAACCTGTCAAATGCCACCTTGCACTCTTCGGTGAAGTCAAATGCCACATCTTTTTGCAACAGTTTGAACAGAGGCGCTCCAATTTTGGAGAAATCTTTGATGAATCTCCTGTAGAACCCTGCATGACCCAAAAAGGAGCGCACCTCCCGCACACTTGCGGGGTAAGGTAAGGCAGAAATAATATCAACTTTTGCCTTGTCTACCTCTATACCTCTGGCCGACACTACATGCCCTAAAACAATACCATGATCCACCATGAAATGACATTTTTCCCAATTTAGAACCAAATTTGTCTCAATGCATCTCTTCAAAATTAAAACTAAATTATCCAGGCATTCATCAAAACTATCCCCATACACACTAAAATCGTCCATAAACACCTCAATAATCTTTTCTACATACTCAGAAAATATACTCACCATACACCTCTGGAAAGTTGTTGGGGCATTGCAGAGGCCGAAAGGCATCCTCCGATAGGCAAAAGTACCAAAGGGGCAGGTGAACGTAGTTTTCTCCTGGTCCTCTGGTGTTATTGCGATCTGAAAATAACCAGAGAAACTATCAAGAAAACAATAATAAATACGGCCAGCTAACCTTTCTATCATCTGATCAATAAAAGGTAGAGGGAAGTGGTCCTTTTTTGTCACAGCATTCAGACACTGGTAATCAATGCACTGGCGCCATCCTGTGGGTTTTCTCACCGGGACCATCTCACCCTCTTGGTTCTCCTCAACAGTTACTCCCGCCTTTTTCGGGACTACTTGCACGGGGTTCACCCAAGGACTATCTGAGATGGCGAAGATGATCCCCACCTCTAGGAGTTTAAGTATCTCCTTCTTGACCACTTCCATCATTAGTGGGTTCAATCTCCGTTGCGCTTGTCTAACTGGCTTTGCATCATCCTCAAGCCGGATCCGATGCATGCATAAAGAGGGGCTAATTCCTTTGATATCTGCTACACTCCACCCAATCGCCTCCTTATGATCTCGAAGAAGACGAATCAGGTTGTCTTCTTGCCTAGGTGATAAGTGTGCAGATATGATGACTGGTAACGTCTCATTATCTCCGAGAAATGCATACTTCAGGTGCTTCGGAAGAGGCTTGAGCTCCAACTCAGGTGCCTGCACAATTGAAGGCGACGATTTCGTTTGAGTTTCTGGTACGAAGACAGACGTAAGCTCATACCTCGGGGAGATTGGTGGGAGCGAATGCAGTGCTCCAACTGCACAATATAACTCATCGCTCAGTCCCACATCAGGAGTTGCTCCCAACTCAAGATGTTTGGCTAATGCCACTGCTAGCGCATCAACCCCATCCAATTCAAATATTTCCTGCACAAGGGGCTCAACAACACTTTAAGCATAAACAGAGTTAGTCTCATCTGGGTACTTCATCGCATCAAAAATATTAAAATTTACAATTTTTCCATCAAACTCCATCGATAAATTACCCTCGTTTACATCTATTTTCGTCTTAGCAATGCTTCAAAATGGCCTACCTAACAAATAGGAGACGGATTTAGTGCCCTTTCATCCCTCATGTCTAGGACATAGAAATCTGCAGGAAAAACTAACTCATTGACCTGTACCAAAACATCTTCAACTAACCCTTCTGGGTAAGCATTGGTACGGTCTGCAAGTTGGATTATAATACCTGTGCCTTTTAACGGGCCAAGATTTAGAGAAGTATAAATTGTCTTAGGCATAACATTAATTGACGCCCCCAAATCCAACATTGCTTTCCTAATTTGAGTACCTCCTATCTTGCAAGGAATGGTGAACATACCTGGGTCTCCACATTTTGGTGGGAGTTTTCTCTGGAGTATAGTTGACACGTTTTCTCCCACCGCCACTCGTTCATCTCCCCTTAGCTTCCTCTTGTGGGTACACAAGTCCTTCAAAAATTTAGCATACTTCGGTATCTGCTTGATTGCATCCAACAGGGGAATGTTAATCTCCACTTTTCGAAACACATCCAAGAGCTCTTTTTCCTTCTCTACCTTCTTTGTCTTTTCCAACCTGCAAGGAAAATGGGGTAAGTTAGAGCTAATAGTGAGTGGAGAGGTGAAAGTTACCTTAGGATCCTCACGAACACGTCCTTCCTCTTCAATTTCCTTTTCTATCTCCTCATCGCTTTTGCTTTTTGAATTTTTCACTTTAGGCCCTTCCAGCTCCTTGCCACTCCTCAGCGTCATGGCACTTACATTCTTGGAATTCACCTCGGGCTGCGATGGCAGTTTCCCATAAACGTGGGACTCCAAACGGTTAATAGCGGTTGCCAGTTGGCTTATCCGAGCTTCTTGGTCCTTCTTGTCCGCTTTGATCTCCTGATGAAGCTGAGTAGTAGTTGTGGCCAGGCTTTTGACTAGGTCTTCCAAGGAGCTTCCTGAATTGGAGGATGAGGGTTGAGATTTTGGTTGCCAAGGCTGGTGGAATCCTGGTGGACGATTCGGGAAGGAACCTTGTTGCCTGTTCCCATAACTGAGATTGGGATGGTCTCTCCAACCGGGGTTGTAGGTGTTGGAATACGGGTCTACTGCCTGCGGGGAGCGGGCACGTCTCCGGCCATATTTACCTGTTCCGCCCCGTTCTCTTCCGCCCCGTTCGCTCGCGGTGTGTCTCTCATGGCCAATTGCCTGACAGCAGACGTCAACTCTGACAGTTTCTGCTGGATGGATGACGTCTCTGCCTCATTGACTCTACGGGTAGGATTGCTCTCACGGAAGCCGAACTGCTGAGAGTTTTCTGCCATGGCTTCAATAAGGTCCCACGCTTCCCTCGGTGTCTTGTTCGCCAGGGCTCCTCCACTCGCAGCGTCAATAATACTTCTGTCAGTTGACTGGAGTCCCTCATAGAAGTACTGGATCAACAGTTGTTCACTAATCTGATGCTGTGGGCATCTAGCGCACAACTTGTTGAATCTTTCCCAAAAATCGTACAATGACTCCCCGGAGTACTGCTTGATGCTGCAAATCTCCTTCCTCAAACTTGCAGCCCGGGACGAGGGGAAAAATTTCTCCAGGAATTTCTTTTTCAATTGTGCCCACGTGGTGATACTACCTGCAGGCAGGTAGTATAACCAATCCTTCGCTGCATCCTTGAGAGAGAAGGGGAAAGCTCTCAGTCTTATTTGCTCTTCAGTGACCCCAGGAGATTTCATGCTAGAGCAAACTACTTCGAATTCCTTGACATGTTTGTGGGGTTCTTCGCCAGAGAGACCATGGAACGAAGGCAGGAGCTGAATCAACCCCGATTTCAGCTCGAAAGAGGTATTTTCAGCCAGAGTTGTGAACGTGATGCACAAGGGCTGATGAGTCAGGTCTGGGGTAGCCAGCTCCCTTAATGTCTGGGTGTTGGCCATGCTAAATTCGTTTTCTACTGACTCGTTTGCAAAAGATAAGTGCCCTTCTTTTCGTCTCTTGGTTTCTTGTTTTCGCCTATGCGCTGCCTTCTCAACCTCAGGATCGTATATCAATTCACCTGTACGAGAGGAACGGGGCATAAACTAGCAAAAGTACCAAGAAAAATAAAATAACAAAAACTAAATAAAAATAAAAAAACTGAATTCAAAAAGAAACAAATAATTCCGATGCCAATTCCCGGTAACGGCGCCAAAAATTGACAGGTGCCGAACCTGTACAATAATAATAAATAAATTCTAACTACCACCTGAAACAGTCAGTAACCAATTCGAGTACTGGAACAGGGACTCTAGGTGTGCAATGGGTTACTTGATTCACCCTATTCCCGAAGAGTTTGCTTAATCCGATATACCTGAATTAATTATTTAACTGAATTCCCTAACTAGTAGACAGTGGTAAGCAGGGTCGTCTCCTCAGGGACTAGCAAGATATTTTGTTTCTTTTCAAATCAAGATTAATGGGGGGTTTTGGTATCAAATGCCAACTAAACAAATTAAATGCAGAAATTAACCGATTAAGAGGAATAATTAAGGGAAAACTCTAGCCAAGGGTACACCTCAGAAATGGTTCATGCACTGATCATCGAATCACAGATAATTCCAACATTTATTAATAGATTGGTTATAGTTGTCTCGCACGCGCTAAACAACCAACCCTTCGTTAATTTATCGATAGCTAAGGTACGACCGTTAGCTATTTCTCTAACCCAAAAACAACCCTAGGTACGACCGTAGGATTTAATTCTTAGATTGCATTATTAATTAGAAAGGCCCAATCCTAGCTAACAAACACGCTACGAGGGTTTATTTAAGTTAGGTCAAATATTCCCCTGACACAAATCCAATTATACCAGCTGCTATTGGGATAGAGATAACGAACAATTACGGATTCAATTACCCCTATATAGCAAAATAGCCTATGTGAATAATTAAATATTGCGCACTAGTCAATCATACACAAGGCTATAACAATGAAAATCAGGGAACAAATGAATATCAATAAATGGAGAAAATAATTAAAAACGGTTTAGATCTCACAGTAATTGCCGAACCAAATCGTCAGTTGTCCCCTTGACTAAAATTAGGGGTTTAGTTCCCCATTAGTGAACAGGCCATGAGTGCAAGGTAGGGAAAGGCCATCGATGCTTTGGTATTGACTCTCGTCCAACTCAGCAAAACCCAAGACGGAACAGGGACCAATTGATTATAGTTACTTCCAATTGCCTTTCGCGGCTAAACGTACGAAGCGTAGGCACTATCTATACTTCGGTCAAAGCCAAATTGACAAACAGTTGGTAGGTCCACAATTGCGGCTTTATTTTCTTCCTTTGCTCTCACCGAAAGTATGAGGGAAATGTTTCAATTGTTCAATTCCCAAATTTGCTCCAGACTAGCAATGCTTCAGGTCAACAAAGGGTGGAAAGCAATACAAAGTCAACAACAATGGCTCTTGTTTCTCCTAATTGGCAAACGAAATCATACGAGGAGAGTTTTCCAATTGTTTGATTCTAGTCAAAGCTCATGAAAAGTTCACCAGCATTCAAAGTCAACAAAAGTGGCTATTGTCTGCTGCTTTCTCCCTACAGAGCTGCGGCTCTCTCCTCTCCCCCTCATTCAGAAGCAAAAACTCCCTTTTTAACCTAAGCCGCGCGTACAAGGTAATGCAATCCCCACAATAGCCGAAAATTGTTACTTGTTTAAAATTGCAGCCAGACTCCCTAGAAATATATTAGAATAGAATCTATTACAATTATGTTTCTTCAGCTTCTCAAGCGGGCCCCACGTCCGATGAATCTTCTAAAAGTTGAATTTAAGCACTTTTTAGCAACCATTTCTGCAATTAGCACCAAAACAAAATATCAGCAGAATCTACCCAATTAACGAAAATATTTAGTCAATTAATTGTGCAATAATGCCCAAAATACCCACTAAAATGCAACCTATCAGGAAAGAAAAGAAAAAGAAAAGAAAGAAAAAAAAAGAAAAGTAAAAAAAAAATTTTCACCTTACAAAAACTTCTACAAAATTTTTTCAAACACTTCTATAATGCACTACAGTAAAATTTTAGACAAACTCCCAAAAAACTCAGGTGGTTCCAAACAGGCCCATGTTGCAAAGCATGAATTAAGCATATTACGGGGGTGTTTGGAACCCAAGTTTTTGAGCAAGTTTGTTTGCTACTAGTTTTTATACAACTTTTGCTACAGGAACCCCAAAAAACTCAAAAAAACTCACGTTTGTTCCCTTGTTAGTCTTTTAGCAAAACGACGTCGTTTTGCCGCATCTTATTTTGAAACCCACGATTTGCCGAAAACACTGCTTGGACTGTTCCTCGTTTTTTCAACTCACAGAAGCGGTACCCTGTACAGCAATTTACCCGGCTCACCTGCGCAATTTGGCCATTCGACGTGGAGGTGATCGGAGCTTGGAGAAGTGGCGGGAAACAACTGCAGCTCTGACCTGCGGAGTAGAGGCGCTTGATTGGAAGGTGAACGAAGGTTCGGCTTAGCTGATTCAGTCCCTCCGACAAATGCCTGTGCCAGTCCGAAAGCAAAAGACTGCCGTGCTTCCGTTTAGGAAAGTTCACTTCAGCCAGTAGCATAGATTTGAGCCAGCCACGCTTCAATTTTTGGGACTGAAATCGCAGCAAGCCAGAAGCATTTTCTGGAATTTTTTTGTTGATTACTCCCTGTATATGGCGTGCTGCGGTCTTGGATTCTTTAAGGTTTTGGTATTAAATAAGTCAAAATTTGGAGAAAGGCTGCTGAGTTAATTGCCCTCCGTTGATTTATTATACTTGGTGTTAATTTCGGACAGAGTTGAAAGCTCCGTGTTGATTAATTTGGGTAATGTGTTAATTAATTCTTTAACATTGGTATGTTAGAATTAATTTGAGCAAAGTTTTTAAAAAACTTGTACAGTAAATTACAACTTCTACAGTGACCTACAATAAAATTTTAGATAAACTTTCAAAATCATTAAAGTTTTAGACAAACTTTTAAAAAACTCAGATTCCAAACGGACCCTCAGTTTGAGATGGAATATTTAACCCAACTACCAAAAGCTACTGTTATCTCTATTGAAATTAATTTCAATTTCAGCAGCTGGCGTCAAGGAAAGCCTTGCACATGTATGGAGGACAGGAAATACTCCAGCCCACTTATTTTTAGAAGATAGAGTTACATGGTGCGACAGCTTGTCACATGACTCACATTGCATTGTAAATGCTGCCTTTTGTGATATGAATGGATAGAAAGTTTCTTTTCTTTTCAAAAAAAAAAAAGGGAAGCCTTGCCTTCACTGAGGGAAAGAAAGAAAGAAAGAAAGAATCCAATGCTGTCCACGGTCTAGGCTGCTTCACCAACAAAAACAATTATGTATCGTCAGTGCCAACAAAACATCTGACAATATCTCGTTTTGGATTGTTATTTTTGAAAATATATGTAGTGATTTGACATATATAAAGTAAAAAGATGATTAAAAATATATTTACAAAAAATATAATTTTTCTTTTACAAAAAATCACAATCCAAACAAGGTAATTCTCCAAAGAAGAATGCACAAGCCAGTTCAGCTAAGAAAACCAAGCCTTATCACAACATAAATTAAGTCCACTGAAATATCAAAGTTTTTTTACTCAATTAATAGTTATTGAATTTTAAGAAAACAAAAAAGAACTAAAACATAATATTTATGTAGGAAAAATAGTAATATAATAAAAAATAGAACAGATGACATATAATATGGGACAGAAGATCCGTTGCGAGAAGGATCCGCTCTCCCACTGCAAAAGGAAAACGACAGTAGAAAACAAAAGCAGAAAGAAAAAAAAAAAAGGGGGCTGAAGGTGAAATGACAGCGACAGAAGAAACAACTGGCTTATCATTATAAAATATTTGCATCACAACTGGCTTATCATTATATTTATGTTGCTCATCCAAATTTAATGGATCGTCGATTCACAAGGTTGCCACTTTGAAGATGCGTCCAACGGTGTAAGTACAGTATGAATGACTTGGCATGTATGTGCTCCTAAATTTTTGTCAGATTTACATAGTTTTAATTGACTAACCAATAATTGAAGTGTATATATATATATATATATATATATTTACAGCAAGTAACATAGATACGTGATGGTTATACCTTTTCAGAGTATTAAAGGATGCTGCAGATCGATTTCTTAAGGAGCGGAAGATAACCCTTGACATTGACATTGACCTTTTTCCTCTCAATTTTCTACTTTCTTTTACAAATTTGGCACATGGGTAAGTGGCGTTTTCTTTATTTTGCAGTAAATTTTGTGAGACAGAGAGATGAATTTGAAGTGGGTTTTATCATGAGTGAAAAGACGGCGTTCATGGGCATGTGAAGAAGGTACCGCTCCTTGACGACGTCGTTTTAGTTTCTTTTTGTCGAAGCTCGTTTCCCTCTCTGAGCCTGATACTTGGTCTTGGTAAGACCAGGAAGTAGGCCGGGTCATGCTTGCGGGTTGAAAGAGAGTAGTATATTCGTTTCCACATCAATTTTATTAGAAGAGTACATTGTGGATAACCCTCTAGTAGAAAATGTGCCCTGATTTTCAGCTACTTTGGTGTGTGCAGACTAGCTATGCTTCCCTACCTATAGAGAATTAGGATATGGCTCCATATATATACAAAGACATAAAAGCAGCATATGGTATCCACAATAGACTCGAGATGCCCTCGCATAAAAGATTATACTACATAATCATCATTTAGGAAGGTCATCGAGAAAACAGTATCTACATTACTTTTTCTTTAAAAAACCAGTATGCTTATGATATGGAGTTAGATTATTAACTAAAACGGGGAAGGAAAATTTGTTTACGCGTGAAGGTGGCAAATAAAGTTGAAGGCGGAAAGTAGAGTCAACCCTTGTGTAAAGTTATAGGGAAATCTGGAGGAAGGATCCACTCTCCCAGTGCAAAAGGAAAATTCACAGTAGAAAACAAAAGGAGGAAAAAAAAAAGGAAAGGGGACTGAAGGTGAAATGACAGCGACAAAAGAAACAACTTAGGCTTTACCTGCAAATTCTTGATTTCTTTATCTATGTAAGTC